CTAACGGGTATAGGTTAGGTTAGGTTAGGTTGGGCTAGGCTATAAGGCTGCACGAGGTGTAAGCCAGTATAACTAGACGTGTTTACGCAGTTGTAGTTTTAACCATTCGCATATATATCAAATATCGTATACATGAAAGTCCATTACATTGTTTTACACACAATTAGTTGATCAACAGATACAAAAATACTGAGTACATTTTTACACCACTGCTACATTATCACCAAAACAATGTGACCAGACAATAGTACCAATGTATAAATGTTTGACAACTTGAAATGCTTGTTGTCAGTCCCTGTTGTCAGTCCCCGCGCTACTGTTGTCAGTCCCTGTTGTCAGTCCCCGCGCTACTGTTGTCAGTCCCTGTTGTCAGTCCCCGCGCTACTGTTGTCAGTCCCTGTTGTCAGTCCCCGCGCTACTGTTGTCAGTCCCTGTTGTCAGTCCCCGCACTAGGTCACACACATCACTGTTTTATCTCACACCTTAACACGCTGCATCACACCACACGGTCAAGAGCCTCCAATAAAGCAACAATTTTTCGGATCACATGAAGATTAACCCCCCATCACCTAGTATATTATACCTTCGCATTAACCACCTAACTTGACTTAAGCTAACCTAACTTAAGCTAAGCTAACCTAACCTAACTTAAGCTAACCTAACCTAACCCAATATAATTCTCTCTTTCTCTCTCTATCATACTGTAAATATATACCAACAAATAGTCAATTAATATCATGTATTTGTTTATCTTGTCTTCGGTATTGGCCTTATTATCGGCCCCTCTCTTTTCTTCCCGCTCATGACCCTAATCTGTTTCCTCCTTTTGTGGATTAGGATGAGAAATCTCTAATCATTTCTCGACGAGCCTTCCGTCCTCCTCCCCACAGTAATGGTGATGATAACGTTCCCACACGACCTTCTCTTGGAACATTATTGTGCCTTTCATTGGCATCTCAGCTCATAACCCAACCTAACCTAACCAAACCTTTTATTGCCACCTCTCTTTTTTATTGGTAATATAAACTATGTCAAGGTTCTACATAAGATAATGACTGTTTAGACCAGATAATCCAACCGTTAAACAGTTCTTTCTCCGCACCATCAGACGTCACTCTACTGTACCACAAAGTGTTTAGCTGAGTGTCAAACTTTGGTTATTTATTAGTATCTATTGAAAAATTCTTATTGGTGATGCATTTTCACTATTTATCTGTTACTTGCTATACTGATTTGGCTCCAAGAGCCATTTATGTGAGACTGATTCAAGGTCAACCTTGAGACGTGGTGGAAATAGGCTCTGGGCAGCTCCATACCAGGATTTAACACCTTTGGATTATTTTTTTTTATGAGGCTGTATCAAGTTAGATGTCTATCGTACAAGAGTTGCAGATATTCCAAGCAATAAGAAATAAAATAAAATATTAAATCCGGAGAGTTCACTGCCCAGAGCCTGTTTCCACCATGACCAGTCCTGCCGTTTACAAAACCTTCAGTCACCCACAATAACCCGGTGACCTGCTTCATTATTCTGAATCCTAAACATCGGCATTATATGAGACTTAATAATGAAATAAAGGTATTGTAAAGTTACCTGATCTAATCCAGGGGAGAGGCAGTTAACATAATCCCTCCCTCCTTCAGACAGGGAGCACCGAGACGAAAAAAAGAGCCACACAGACATATACGACAATGGAATATAAGTAAGTCTAACTACATAAAAAATCGTAAACAAAATTCATAAGAAAGTAACGGAGACAGAAGACGGTGATCGTCTCACCTTCATTATCACCCCGATATTAACCGTAAACAGTTCTAATTCCTCCTGCCCCTCCCCCTCCCCCTCCCCCCCCCCTTCCGTATTATCATCCCTCCATCTTACAAACTTTCTAAGAAGTTAATTTCTATTACAATGATAATATAAAAAAAGAAGTCTGTACTCACCACTTCAGTGTAGACTCTCACTCACGTAGATCAGGTCAGCCGCGTAGATCAGGTCAGCCGTGTAGATCAGGGCAGTACCCCCAACAGCGTATATCGAGACTCATTTTACTTTCCTTTACTTGATCATCGTCGCCACTGATCAGCTGTTAGCATCTTGGGCGGTCGGTCACGGCTCTGTTGGAGATGTAGTGTGTGAGCTGAACCACAGGCGGCGGTCGAAACAGCTTCGGTCCTTCGCGTCACACGTTCTTGTTCAGTCATCATCAATTATTACCTTTAAGAAAAATTTAATTACCATCATTTCAATAATATAGTCTTCAAAGATACCATGTATAATAAATAGAACCTTGACATAAATGTCCAACTAACTATAATAATGAAACTCTAAATAATATCATTGTCCTACTGCTGATTACCAAGTGACCTTGAAGCCCAAGTGTGGGGCACTATGCTGGACGTAAAACAATACCAAATTTATATGTCGACCGCAACAGACGTCGGGGAGGAAAAGGGCGGTAAATAGGGGCAGGAGGAGGTGGTTTAGACTTAGAGGACAACACTGCCTTCATGTGATGCAACAGTTAAAGGGGTCAACACGGTCTCTGGGAAGGACAACAAGTAGAGGTGGAGACTTTGTTGTGGTTGAATGTGGGTGCGCCAAGTCCGTAGACTTGCTAGTGATAGATTTGTTTTTAAGGGCACGCCTCGCGCAAGGCGCGGGCGATCAAACCACAAGGCAGAAGAGCGGATCGGGTTACCCTCGTGTCGGGGAGACAGTCAGCAGGCACCGAAGTTGCAGCAACCGATGGATGTACTTGTGGTGTAATGATCAACACGCTCGCCTTTCAAACAATTATACCTGGGTTCGATCCCCGAGCTGGGTGAAACGATGGACAAGATTCTCTACGGTTACACAATTTGCCTCTGTCTACGTAACAGTAATTGAGGACGTGGATGCAAATAAAGTTGAGGATCGTGTTAGCCAGTGCAGTTTGAGAGTTGTCCGGTTTTCGCGGAACATTCTTAAAGGCTCGTTAACTTAAGGTGTGGGTGTTGAGGTGGAGACAGCTTCAATACTTTAAACAAATTTATACCAAGGTGGTCACAGGGCCGGGAAGCCTTCAACACGAGAGGCAGCCATTATTATACAGGTGATGGGGAGAAGGGACGGGAGGAGTATAGAGATGCAGATAATGGGAGATGGAAAGGGGGGGTGGAGAGAGAGGGGGGGGGATAAGAGGAAAGGGGGAAAAGACGTGTATAAATGTAGAGAAAATCCCAACACAAGAAAATTATCAGAAGTTGACTTAATATGCAGAGATTGGTGAAATAAATGACCGTTATCCAATATTATTTGGTGAGGTATTCTGGCTAGGGCTGAGAATACCTTGCCCGTGGTATTGATAGTATTCCCGTCTGCCGCCCACACCAACGTTGACTGCAGTGACGTCATGGCATGGTGTGGTGTGGGGGAGCAAGAGATATCCACCACCCACACCATCGACTGCGGCGGTGACTGCACGTGGGAGGGGGAGCGACGCCGCAACTTGGAGCCAACAGTGCGCAGGATTGGAGGGAGTTTGCTTTATACAGTAAATGGTTCGTTTATGAAACCTCACCTCACCTCACTTTATCTAACCTAACATAACCTCACCTCACCTAACCTAACCGATCTACCATTAACAAGTGCCCCCACCCAACCTGTAGAAACCCAGCAACCCAACAAATGAGTAACACCATGACTCTGCTCTCCCTACCATTGTAAATATAAACACAAATATAAACTGTCGAGTATTAAATGGTGTACCTGGGAAGATCCAAGTTATTTTTACAGTATGAACAACAAAGCCAAATCCTGTAGGTCACTCCAACAACTATCTGCACTTGGGGTGACGATGAATTTCAGAATGAACACGGACTCCTGTTGTCTCGGTAGGGTTGTCAAAATCCTTCGTCCATTGTCATATTTTTTCAAAACAATTTTGTAGAGATAGTTTTTTGAGTGACTGTAATAATAACTTAATAGAAATATTAAGTAAAAAAGAGTCACTTGACAAAATAAACAAGTTACTAGACCTAACTTACAGTAAAACCTCGACTTTAGGGACTAAATGGAGAGGAATGTCCGTTTTATCAAATATTCGTTAGATATGAAACTTCCATCTAACGAACTATATAGAGATGAAATTACGTTATATCGAGGATCCGCTAAATGTGAAATGATAACGGATTGTACGGAGAGAAGTCCGTTATATGGAGGTTTCACTGTACAAGAACATTGATACTAAACGTTGTCGTGTAATTTGCTTCTCTTATTCAACACACAACACAGCGGGAAGCTAGTACTAGTTTGCACGGTACTGACGTCATTACAAGTGACTTAAAAGGTCATTGAAATGTCACGTTTATTTATGTAAAAGGTACTGACGATGACAGATGTCTGGCCCACTGAGTTATACCAAGCAACACGAAACTGGTTCCTCGTTCATACAATTTATTTTCTTTCTAAATATCAAGTAACACGTGAGGTGAGGTTGTGAGGGGCTCAACAATGGTAACTGTGTAAGGGATGACAGACATTTCTAACAACTCGCTGCTCCATCTCGTCAGCCTCTAGTGCTGTACCTCCTTAACGTGTTTGTATTATCTGTCACTTCCCAAATACTGCAATACCTTTGGTTCCGTTATGATGCCATGTTTGATATAATTCATCAGTATATGATTTAATACGTTCATTTTGGGGCAATAGAAACATCCTTGTAAATAATGGTTTATGGAGAAGAAAATCACTGACAAATTAACGAGATAAATACAAGAACAAAAACGAAGAAAGACTAACAACATAAATTAAAGAACAAAAATGAAGAAACCTGACAATTTAACAATAAATTTAATCACAAATTAAGAAAAAAATGACAAATTAACAATAAATTAATAAAATAAAACAAAGGTTTATAATTTAAACTGAAAAACTAACAATTTAATGATAGATAAATAAAACATCACAAATGAAGAAAAAAAATGGCAATTAACTATAATTAATAAAATAAAATTAA